CTGGGGGGAGTGTATAAGAAATGGAGGAAGCTGCTGTGACTGTGGGGTTGAAGCTCTCATAGCTCCTGGGCGCTTCCAGCCTGAGCAGGGACATGAGAAGTCCCAAGGCCCCAGTTGCCCAAAGCCTGGATTTTAAAGTGGCAAACCCTGGAAACCCAGCTTCTGAGCACAGTAGGAAACTGCCAGAGGAAACTGCCTGCTCTGTCACAGATAGTCATCAAAACTGCTCCAAAACATTCCAGTTTTGGTTAATCAGCATTTCTACTTAAAACACATTAAGTTTTGTCAGAAATTTTTCAACTATCGGTACTAGCAAGGCCAATGTCCCAGTAAGCCTGGTTTGAAGTGCATGGCCTCCTTGCTGATTACTGAAATACCTTTTAAGTCTGAGGAAGAAACTAATGGGCTCCACTACTTATTATTAAGTTTCCAGTTAGGAGCTTGGCTTTTATCTTTACCTTCACAGCAATAAAGGCAGACTCTGCAGAGTGTCCTGCCCTGGTGATTTTCAGAGACACCACCCCCACGCTCTCACACACTTCGTATTCCGTCTGTTGCATTTCAATCCGAGACCACCGTAGCTCCAGCCTGTGGGAGAGGAAGGAAAGCCCATGTGAAGCAGAGCCACCTCCCCTGCTGCCTCCACCCCCTGCTGCTCCCAGGTTCAGTGAGGAGCCGATACACACATTGAGTCTTTGTTTCCCAATCAACACTTTTGTGTGATTTGGCTGATTAGAAAGAGGGAGAGGCGGTTAATAAATCTTCCAGTCGAGCCCCGGTCTAGCCCAAAGCAAGCCTAAATCTTGTTTCAGAAGCAGAGGGGTTCTGCAGCAACTTTGAGAAGAGCAGAGTTCATCCATAAATAACACCAAATAGTCCAAGAGAAGCTATCACTGTTTCTTCCTGTTTCACATTAGCCCTGTAGTTTTATTTTACTCTCACTCCCTGGTATTTTCTCTACAATATCCTCCTTTCTTCCCACCTTCCTTCATCTATCCTCTAACCTCCGCTAGCGTGTAGGGCACACACTAGGACTTCACCGCCTCCGTGTGAGTGCTCTCCCCGCTCCTCTTACTTTAATACTCTGTGTACTGCACTCTTCAGCCATAGAAGGGGCTGAGTCCAGGCGTCTCATACACTGAATTTTAGAATTGTTTGGGGATGTGACCGAACCTTGGAGGATCGTGAGCTGCACAAGATAGCCAATAAACATCTTGCTTTTTTAAAAGCTGTGATAAAAATTAGTGTGTGCCAGAGAGAGCTGAAAGAGAGCAGAAAGAAGGAAAATGAGCTGTGCTACTTACAAAACAATTTTAACATTTCTAAAACAACCTTTCAGGGTTGACTAGCTCTAACACCAGTGGAAGTTTCCTCCTGTATCCTGTGATACTGATGGTGCGGGCAACCCATTTAGAAACTCATTTGCTTTCTTTTAGCTAAAGAGGATGCATGTGCCAAATGTAGTCTAGCAGTATTCAGATAAAAGCTGGGATTCAAATTAATAATTTCAACATGGAAATCAAACTTGTCTTTTGAACCAGTGACCATTAGGTGATAAGTTGTTGGGTTTTTTTTTTTTTTTAAAAAAAACACCTCTCACAAGCTTTTAAGTCCAATATTAAAAATATTATTTTTCCTTAAAAGCCAAATTCCCCTTTGTTCTGAGGTCCAGATAAATTCTACTTCTCTGAAACTCATATTTTCCATACAAAAAGTGCTTTCTCTTTGCTCTCTTCGTAAAGCTGTGTTACGCATTGCTATTTATGTACTAGAAGGCACTCT